GTTTAAAATAAATATTGAATGTAGATTTTTAGGGAGTTCAACCACAAACTCACAGGGATATCCCACATCAAAATCGAGATCCAATTGCCCAAGTTATGGCATCTCGAAGTGCAGTTTTGGGTTCCTATTCTGAAAGCCATTGGAAATACGGAAAAATTCAACATGAAAATGGGTTAAAATGTTGACCCTCTTATAAAGGAATTATTTGAACGTTGATTATTAGGGAACTTAACCACAAGTTTAAAGAGGTATCGAACTTATAGATCGGGATAAAATGACACAAGTTATGTGACTTGGAAGTGAGGTTTTGGGCTCCGATTCTGAAACCATGGATATAGGGAAAAATACTGAAATATATTTCGGATTGATATTTTAACATATGTAAATTGTTGGGCCTAAAAAATAAAGTACTATTCTTAATGTATCGTAAGCCGTTTCTTGTAAAGCAGTTATGAACTTGTTTTCACCTCGTTTGCGTATATAAAGGGACATATTGCAGGAATAACTTTCCCCCAGTTGAAACGCGAATAGTTTCAGTTGGCAGCTTAATTAGTTAATTGAATCGGATACGGCTGCAGTTTCGATATCACCATCTCCCGCATCATTAGCATGCCGCCCGAGTGGCTACCACCGCCTTTCATGGGGATCCATTGAACCCGGGGCTGTGATACTTGGATATTTGGATACTCCTCGCTGCTCAACACCCGCTGTCAGGCGCTAGAAGTCGCTTAGTTCCGCCGGCTTTTCAGGAACTCCCACGCAAATCCCGAAAACCCAGGAAAACCCCTGCCCCGGAAAGTGTTTCGCTCCCCTCTGCCAACTGTCTCGGTTATTTACGCCAGCGGCATAACGTTGAAAGCAAATTGATATCATGTGGATTTGGCTTTCACTTTGTGGAATCAATAGGCGAAATCCTTTTGGCAGAGCCTGGCACAGAGCCACTCTGCTCCGCACTCCGTGTATATCTGCTGCCACTCGAGTTAAGCCAAGGATAATGATTATGTTGCGCAACGACTCCGCAGAAGGGAAAGCTTTGCATAGCTTTTCTGGTTCTGGGCAAGGGGTGGAAAGGGGGATGGGATACAGAGGGGTCGAGGGATTTCGTAATCGACAGACAATCGACGTGAACAACATAATGGATATCGAACTCGAACCGAGACAGTAGCCCACAGCCCCAAAAGCATACTTCAAGGCAGTGCAACTAATTGGCTTTCCTTGAGTGGGGAGCCGGGTCCTCTCCTCAACCGCAGGGAAATGGCCACTCCTGTTTGTCTTCTATGCCACTTGATTGGAAAATCAAACTAATTAAAAGATTTCAATTAAACGCCGAGCTGGGAATGCAGGAGCACCATCTCCCGCTCCCTATGCCACAGTAATTCCATTAAAATGGCAAATCAATTTCAATAAATTTCATTCAAAGGTGGAAACGCAATTGCACAGCCAGCTCAGCTCAGGAGGTCCTGTCGCTATTGCGACGACATCATAAAACTGTTTACATGCTGACAAATCTGTTAATTGAATCGCAAATCCAATTAAAACTTCGATTTTCTATCCCCGGAACTTTGAGCTGCAAAAGTTCAAGTGCATAAATGGCCAGCATGTGTGTGGCCAGGACATTCCGCTTTTGTGTTCGAAAAACTTTTCCCAGCTTGTCGTCCTCAAAAATTCGTTCCTGCTTTTGCGTGTAAATTCAATAACAAATTTATGCGTCAATTTCGTTGAGGCTGCATTAAAGCGTACAATTTCCTAATTAGTCCGTCTGCCGTTTACACAGGCTCTCTGCCAGGCTCTCTGCCTCCCTCCCGCTGGCATTTCGCATTCTGCACGCAAAAATAGTCAAAGCGAAACCGCAAGCTGCGCATAACTAACTCAACTGCTTTATTTGGACAAACCGCAGCCGCAGCTTCCCTCTGCCCAAACATCTCCATCCCAGGACCCCGTGGATGGGCCTGCTGTCGAAAAATAGCAACATATACAATTTCAAATGCAGTTTAGAGATGAGCAGAACCTATTTGGTTGAAAAAGCTATAACTATTAAAATTTGCAATGTTATTTTTAACATTAGGCCTAAAGAAAAATTTTGAATGGCGCCAGAGAATCCACAGGATTTAAATTCATGTTAAAGTGCCTAAAAGTATGCAACAACAAGTCGAATTAGTCGATTACCTATAAAATATAACACACCTTTGGACACCTTTACATGTGGTTTTGGGAACTCCAGAGATTTGAATTTTTAAAGTATGATCCAAAATCTTGTTTTAACCATTTTTCCCAATACCTTTTATCATTTTAATAGTGATTATGGCGCATCTCTGGCGGCTCATTTGGTTTGTTCCGGTTTCGTTTCGTTGGGGGTCCCGGATTCGGGTTAGTTTTCCGGAGAGTGCCGTGTGGAGCCCATTAAAAGTGCATTTAGTGAAAATTTATCTGGGCGCAGAAAGGTAGCAACCGCAGGCGCATTTTCGCATTTTCGACTCCGGCTGGCCAGCTACAAGTGTGCGTGTCCGGAAACGGAAATAAAATAATTCTGGTTGCAATAGCAACAGGAAGTCTCTGCTTCTGCCACTTTTTCCTTCGCATCCCGGGGACTTGTGTCTGCCAGTTTTTGGCCTTCTGTCTATTGTGTTTGTATTTGTATGTCTGTTTGTTTGTTTGTTTGCTTGCTGGCCTGTTTGGCGTTGGTGCGAAGGTTTTACTGTTTATGCAAATGCCTTGGCCCACGAAATGCTTTAACCGAAAACACTTTAACCGCATTCACCTTGGGCGGCTGCTTGTTAGTAGCCATTGAGAGCAGAGCAGACAGAAACAGCTCCCCCAGCACTCTGAACTCCATTCAGCTGCCCAAAAGGCCGTAAAATGCCTGCAAGTTACGGCCATGTGCCCCTTGGCTGCTGTTCCCGAAAAATGTTTCATTGCCATTGGAGCTACACGGTCAAAAACTATAACGAAATTCTGGTCAGTTTAGTGTGGAATCAAGAAGTATGTGAGAACGATATTTCTTGAATTTCATGTTTAAAATACTATGTATCGAACTTTAAATGGTTTTTTAAAGATAGAGCAAAATTGCATTTTCAAACCAATTGAACATTACTTGCTGGATATTTTTTTGTCTGTACACAACTACAGATCCCCGGCTGTTCCAGACACCTCCTCCTGGACCACCTTTCCAACCACCTCTTCATGGCTGCCTGAGTTTCTATTATGTAGCATATCGTAATCTCACTTGAGTCAAAGGTTTAGCTACAGACACCCGAAAAACACCCGCAACACCCCAAAAAACACCGAAGCGTCGGTACAACAGCAGCAGAGGCAACAACAACCCGCAGCTAACACTTTGTAAATAGTCATCGGCGTGTTTATTACTCAGCCGTGCCGGAGTGTCTGTCCCTTCCGCCGTAGTCCCTACTCCCTAGTCCCTGGCCCCAGTCGTAGTCCTCGTCCTCTCCGGCGGAGTCTGGTGCGTGTGGTCCTGCGGTTGGTTGTTAGTGTTGCCGTGTAATCGCTGTTGCGAAAGATTTTCACCCAAAGTGTGTGTGTTTGGGTGCTTGACTTTTCGCTTAATGAAAGTACAGTTTAAACTTTGCATATCCCGAAAGGAAAACCGAAACTAGGTTTTGATCTGAGGATTTAAGGGTAAGCATCTTCGGTATTTGGGATGATTACCCCCTATTCAATTGATTTTAAATTGAGTTTTAAGTAAGGTGAAGCTTTGATAAGAGATTTTACTGATATTTTCTTTTACATTTTCATTTTAAATTAATATATTGTATTTTATTTTTGGTTATACCATTTGAAAAATCAGTTCCTTTCATTTAACTTTTATTTTAACATGTTAGCAATTTCAATTATTTAGCCCAACTGTTTCCAAACCACAAAATTGAAATACAAACATTTGAATTTGCAATTCTGAAATATTTAATTACATATCTGCTTTCAAAGGAAAACATTTACATTTAATTTGGCTATCATTTATAAGAGAACTTTAAGTGGGCTCCAACAATTCTAATATCATTGCAGCACACGGCCAAAACGGTGAGTAATTGGTAACTGCTACTTAGAGGCACTAACTACACTCGTTCTCCTTTTAATTCCGACCAGCATTTTCCCCTTGACGTCACAACAACTGGCTAACAGCACAGAACCGAAAACAAAACAAACAATTTCTCTCTCACGAAATTTATCGTTTGCATAAATTTGCTTTATTGCCCGGTTCCCTGTCGTTGTGTGCGTGTGTGTGCGCGTTGGTATGTGTGCGGGTGAGTTAGTGGCTGTGTATTTGTGTTGCCAACGGAAGTGTAACTTTCGCTTCCAGGCCAGACATGGCCAAAACCAACACAACAACAGGAGTGAGTCGAATGCGGCGAACAAAGTTTTCCATTATTCAATTTAACTAATGAAACTGAAAATTCATTTTACCACATTAACAAACACACACAAACAGACAGACAGACTGAGGGGGTGCGGGGGGGAGCAGGACACCAAAGGACGAGGGCAGGAAATGTGACTCGCCTCCGGAAAAGGACATGTGTGCGTGCTGGACTCCTGTTTTTGGTTTCTCCGCCTCTATTTGAACAGCCATAAAGCGCGGAAATTTATATTCGAGGGGAACTCTGCAAGGACAACGCGCGGAGGCGCCACCCTAGTGCGTTGGCATTTAAATAATTAAGTATATTTTTAGCCCACCATTCGAATGCCCATTTGCGAGTCCTGTTTTAGTTTCAGCCATGTGTGGGTAAAGTTGTTTAAGTTTTTGCTGGAATTTTAAGAGTTTGATAAGCTACAAATGATTAGATTTGAATAACCAATAAAGGTGTCTAAAAGTATGCATCAATAAATATAGTGAAAGCAGACGCATTGTATTTTCAATTGCATACTTTCGGCATATTTTGTTACTAATTCAACTAATAACAAATATGCACGTACCTACATAATAAAAATTATTTTTCTTAGAAATACGACAAATTTTACATTTTGATTTCTCGTGTTAAAATTTTGTCGGCTTATTATTGTATTCTTACATTTTATTGTCTGGTTGTGATGGCTCTGGCAGGCAGGCTCTTAAAAGAATTCAATTCAAAGTCTGTAGTGAAAGTTTAGTCATCCTCCTCTTCTTCGAGGTCCTCGTCATCGGATGCATCTTCCATGTCATCGCTGATGTTGTTGCTATCGGCGCTATTGAACTGCCCGTCATCTCATCGTCGTCGTAATCATTTTCGTCCCCGGCATCCTCGTCAATATTATCCTCGACATCCTCATCGGCTTCATCGCTTTCCCCCAAATTATCCTGCTCCAGATTGAGGGAATCCATTGGCACAGCGCCCACGGCCACATGGTCGCCGTTTCCCAAGTCGTGTCGCAAAAAAGCAGGCGGGGATCCGAGTGCCTTGCTCGAGGCTTCCGGGGACTTAGAAGAACTGCTGATGGCTGCTTTTGCATAGCCTCCGATTTGCGAGGGCTCTCCTCCCCGGCAGTGTTGCGGGTCCGGTGGCCAGTGTTCGAATCCTTGGTGGAAGACGATCCCTGTGGTCGCGGTTGCAGCAGCGGCATGGTATCAGGCTCGATGGTTTTCTCGTAGTCGGTGAAGTTAAACAGCGGAGGGAGACTCCTGCCATTGGGCAGCTGCTGGTGAGGATCGTGACGAAGTTCGTCGAAAAACGGATGGGCACAACCCATCATCGGGGAAACTCTGTGCTGGGGGGAGTAAATAAGCATCTTGGAGACCAGATCTATAGCCTCCGCCGGGGTGCGAATCCTGAATACCTTGGCCCACGGATGTGGCTTTAGCTGCGGCAACTTGAACTGCTTGTAGTGGGGATTCATGTCATGCAGCTGCTCGGAGGTGGGAGTACCCATAACCTTCACGATCTCCACAATCTGGTCCACACCCGAGTCCCCGGGGAAGATGAGCTGGCCCAGGAGGAGCTCCGCCATCACACAGCCGGCGCTCCAAATGTCGATCTTGGTGGTGTAGTCCGTGGCACCAAATATCAACTCCGGGGCGCGATAATACCTGGAGCAGATGTACGAGACATTGGGCTCCCCGGAGACCAGCTGCTTTGCACTGCCGAAATCGCAGAGCTTCAAAATGCCCGTTTCCGAATCGAGAAGCATATTTTGGGGTTTGATATCCCGGTGGCAGAATCCCAGGCTGTGGAGATACGCCATGCTCCTCAGCAACTGGTACATATACAGTCGAACAAAGTTGACGGGCAAAGTCTGCTTGGCCCTGGCATACTGGCGTTCCACTTTGTAGAGAGTCTCCGGTAGGTACTCCATCACCAGATTTAGGTAAACCTCATCCCGTTTGTCGCCACTCGAGTAGAAGAACCACTTGAGCGTGATGATGTTGTCGTGGCGCAACTTACGCATGATTTGAAGCTCCCGATTCTTGAAGCGACGATCCTGCAGGACCTTCTTGATAGCCACCGGCTCGTTGCTGGGCACCATTTTGGCCTGGAAGACCACACCGAAGCTGCCATTGCCCACCACTTTGGCGTCCGTGTAGCTGATCTCGCTCATCACGTCCGCACCGTAGGCATTCGTGGCCACCACGGTGGTCACCTTGTTGCTTATTCCGTTGCTCTTGCTCTGAGAAGCCATCTGGGAGATCCTTGACTTTGTTTCCGCTTCACTTGGGCTGTCCACGAATTATTGTCTAAGCAACAGAAAACGAGAAGATCATGTGTTTGAATAGGCGAACAAAAGAAACGCTGTAGAAACAAAATATGTGTGTGTGAGGTTGGCTTTTTGGTTTGGTTCTCTGGAACTGACAGCTTTTGAGTTAAATTCCAGGGTGCCTGAGATTAATTTGGATTGTATAATGAATTCAGTTCAGCGCTTATTTAATTCACTGTTTAGAACGGAGTAAACAGAAATCCACACCTGCCTTTATTGTGCTAACTGAAGGGTTGGGAAAACATCGATAGTGGGCACCGGCAGCAGTTTTGGTTATCGATAGTGGCCACTATCGATTTTATCGATACTATCGAAGATAGAAATAAATTGAATATTTATTCTTGATACCATCGTTACTGATGTTTCCCAAATTTTGAAACCAACCTCAGCTAATTGTGCATAGCCCGCATTCCCCAACTACTTATGCTTGACTGATAAACATTTTTAGTGTGTCTCAGATTAGCTTTATGTCTTCAGAATTGTTAATTTGGAGTGTGATAGTTACAGCAGTAGAGTGTCCTGTCATAAAAAGAAACTAAGTATTTAATAGCTTACCCACTCATAATTCACAAGACCCAACTGTAGTTGTCACTCAAAGCTGTAGTGGAAACTGATTTCTCGGCTGCTTGAGATTGCTTTTGTCCCTCCGTGCTCTGTTTTTGGCCACTTGAGCCGAACTTATGCAAGGCCATTCATAATTCGTGAGGGCTTCTTTGTGCTGTGTAAGTTGGCTAATTTCGCAGGACCCTTTTGCATTGTTGTCCACGACTCGACTTTCGACTTGAAAGTTTCTCCGGCGCCTTTGTCTTCTGGCATCTTATCGCTCTGGCTAACTTGACTTGGCCCTTCTTGTCTTGGCCATCCTGTCCACTGGCTTATCAAAAGACCATGCTCTCTACAGTTTCCTTACAGTTGAAGTGCCCCGGAGGGTGGCATTTTTTTATATAGCCCCAGATAGCACAGATGGCTACCCCCGAAAACGAATAAAAATGTACTTCACAAATGTTTGTATAAAATGTCGCTTGCAGTTTATTTTTTACTGGTAATTTTATTGTATATATTAGATATATATATAAAAGTGACACACTCATGGTAAAATCTTGTTAGAGACATTTAATCGTATATATTTAAGTTTCCATTTCGTTTACAGTTTACACAAATATTCAGTAGATTGTAAAAGTGTTTAATCGATAATATTTCATATGCGTTCCGTATTCGTTTCTACTCTAGTTTGACCACACAAAATGTTGAGTAATATTATTAATAGAAGGGGTATTTACACAATTCAGGAGTCACGAAAGGTCAACGGACGGACAGACTTAAATTAGTTGCAAATGATTAAACTAAGCTAAAAGGGCTTAACGTATATGGTCAAAAGTTGCTCGCTTACGTAAATATTATTGAAATTGTTGGACGTTGTTGGCATAAGTAAGTACGTAGTTTGGGGCTACGGCTAGAGTATCCTTCTACGAATATAAATATATTTTATTTAAATTTAAATTACATACACATATAGGCTTCTACAGTTATTTGGCTTTTCTCGTTGCTGCTGCTGCGGCTGGCTGCAGTAAAATTAAATTTTACATAATCTTGTGTGGACTCTTGTGTAAGAGGCATTATTTAAATGCGTATCAAATTGGTTCTTAGTAGTTAATAAAAACGTATATTTAATTTACTTCCAGGCGCACACAGATACGAAGCACAACAATAAAATTTTATATTTATCGCCAACGATTTCCGGCCAGAGTCCTTTTGTGAGTGTGTGTGTGGGTGTGTTTGTGTGTGTGTGTCTGTGTGCGCCGTTTGTGCTGCCTACTTTTTGGGGGCCTGGCTTTTCCTAAGTTTCCGAGTTTTCCGCGTTGTCTGGCTTGTGCGCATATTTTAATAAATTTTATGCCGCTGAAATGTGCCCCGCTTATCATTAACGCACAATTTATTTTTGCTTTTATGCTTCTCTGTGTTTCTTCTCTGCTTTTATGCCACAGGCCCCCAATTGCTGTTGTTTATCTGTGAGATACATTTGCTTTTTTGGCTTTTTGATTATTCGCGTCTTAAGATTACTGGGCTGCCTCGTTTACGATTAAGTTTCTGTACCCCCAACTGGCTTATATACAGCATTATCTATTTACATGTTGGCATAATGTGCATTTAATTTGCAAACGCAACGTGCTGGCGAAAGTTTGAGACCAACTTTTGCCCCGGCGGCTTTTAAATGTTGTTTATTGTTGCTCCTCGTCTGTTGATGTTGAACCCGCACATGTAGTTTCCATTTAACTTTCCACTTACACGTTGTGCGTGTTTATTCTTTTCTAGAGCCAAGCCTGCTGCTGTTCGTAGAGTTGTTGCTGCTGTGCGAGCTGGTGTTGCTGCTGGATTGCTGCTGCTGCTGGGATTGCTGGTGCTGCTGATGCTGCTGCTGCTGCTGTTGCTGCAACCAAAGTTTGCAGAAGGCAGTGGGCGGCGGATTGGAGGCGCAGCTCACTCCTGCGGCAGGGGCATGGTCGGCGGGCTTTGGCTATTGCAAATTAAATTTAGCTAATTCTCACAACTCTGTGCTCATTTCGCTTACAATTGCGCTCTGCCGTTTGCATTGTAGTTTTGTGGTAGTTGCATTTGCATGGCATGAAAACAAAAGTGGGGCGAAAAGAGGGTTTTCGGGGGTGGGAGAGAAGAGAAGAAAATATTTGCACATGTTAGAAAAAGTTTCCTTGTTGATTCGATTTTCTCATTTAAGTTTTCTAGTGCTCGGTAATGTAAGTGTAGGTATAGTGAGTGTGTGTGGTGTGTGGTTGTGAGTATAGCTGGTTAGTTTGCTCTAGCGACTACAGTGCGTATGCGTTATGGTGCTCTTCAATTCGAAATAAATTTACAAAAAATATAGTTCAAGTGCCGCCACGCAGTTTATGGCCGCAGTAAATCCAGTTTTATCGCCGCAACTGCCACAAATTGAATACTTTTTATCATTTCAGTTGGCGCCGCACCACAAATAATTACTTAATTTAATCATAAACCAAAAAGAAATCCTGGAAGGAAAAAACCATCGCTCCACATTATGTGTGTGGCAATGGGGTGAGTTTTATATAGCCATTCATAAGCTTATCTCTCCGCCCTCGGGTAAAAATGTGCGTCAAATTTACGATTGCCACTCGGGCACTTTCCACATTTTCAGCACTTTTCCTTTTCGTTTTCTATTTTCTTTCTGTGACAAAAATGCGTAAAGTTTCGCCCGAGTCCCTTTGTGTTTGCTGGTGGCGTGTGGCCTAGCTACAAGTCGCGATGGGCTCCAAATGGTCGATTTCCAGGGGCCAAGGGGTTGGCGGGGTCGAGGGGCTTAATCTAAAACAAGAACTGTCGTTGTACCAAGGTCGAACACGCAGACCCCTTGTGGATATACCCTTTCCAGCAGGGATATACATTACGACCTCACTGCATTTAAAGGAAAAAGGAAGTCTTAAAACCAATTGATATCTTAATTTTGAAACTCTTCACAACCTTTAAATATCATGATAAAGTTGATACATTCCTTACATCTTAAGTTATTTATACAATTTTTAGGAAATGGTCTCTGATTTCATTATTTTACTATTACTTTTTATACCAAACCTCTTACGGCGAAACAACTTTGTAAATATTAGATGACCTAAATATTTATCTTAATCAAATAAAGAGTAACCCGAGGTCCCCAAAACCCCGCAGGCCAACAATTTTCCCTTTCAACTGTTTGTTATGCCTTTTTTTGTGCTTCTACAAAATGTTGTTTATTTGGCTCCAAAGTATTTCTACGATATGAAATGTTTGCCTATCCTGGTTGTTGTTTCACTTTTTGTATTTTCACTGGCTGCCAACATTGCTCCTTTTTGCTTTCATCGCTTATTTTTTGGGGTTTATTTTTGTTTTGTGGCCTGTTGTTTTGTTGAAATTTGTATTTATGTGCGGGTCGGAGGCACAGAAACATTGGCATCGGGCCATCGAGCCGGCAGAAATATCATTTGCCCGGCCCCACATACATATACTTTAATGTGCGACTGTGGGTGTGTTTTTTCGGTGTCCTATCATATTTTCCGGCTCGCATGTGTGGGGGACTTTTGTCTTTGTATCCCTGAAAATTATGTATATTTTTAGCACTTTCGCTTGTTTTGTTTTCGCTTATCGAGTTTGAAGGTCATTTGCTTGCAATTCCCTGCTCGCAATAAATGTCCTGGGCCCTCGCATCCATTCGGATGTACGAATGTTGGCTGTCTGGTTGGCTGGGTGGTTAATTTGTTGTGAAATTGTCATTTTGTTGCTTCAATGGCTGCGTGCAATGCGGCGTATGAGTAATGTTTCTGTGCCCTGGCCGTAGCATACTTTCCTGGGTTAATGAGGGTTGTGGGGTGGGAGCCCCGAAATTTAAATTGACATGTTTAAAGTCAATTTGCCCCAAGTTTGGCTCGTAAACAAAACACAGCCGAGCTGATTCAGATTCAGATTCCACCCCGATACATTAACCTATTCATTTGTAAATAGGCTGTCGAATTTCCTAGCTTACATAAATATTTGTGCGTTTCTGCGTTGCCCCGCCAAGCGGAAAAATGTCGAGGAAAATAGGGGGAAAGGCAGTCAAATCAAATGTAAATCCAGAACGAAAGCAAGCCGAAGAAGCCGAGGCAAGTGAAATTGAAATGAAAATGAATGTTTGCCTGGGAGGCTTTTGGGCCATTGTTTTGGCCCCCAAGTCGATTGTTATCTTGGCCCAAAGGCAATTGAAAATTGGCAGCTGGGAGGTCCCAACATTTCGACATTTCCGCGTTTCGCAGGCCTAACGGGCACATTAATACATAATTTATAATGTTTTCGTTTCGTTTTGTTTTCGCACACTTAAAGGAGATGTTTCGTGTATCTGTTTTTTTTGGGGAGGATGATGGGGATTTTTCTTTAAATTTCCCGCGGTGTTCAATAGAGGGAAAACGAGGGTGGGGCAACGATACAAAGGGCATTCAACTCATTATTTTGTCTGCCAACAACTCAAAGATAAAACTCCAATGCAATCCTTAACAATAGCAGATACACACAATAACTCGACTTTGATCGAACTGGGTAGCAAAAAACTGCAATTTTCATCTAAAGGTAAAGTCACTTCAGTTGTTTCTTCTCCGTTTTAACATGCAGGTCAAAGGTCGGTATCGGTATTGGTACGGGTACTGGTATTATTTCTTGTTAGCTACGGAAACAGAAAATAGGTTGTACCTACTTGAAAACAAACAAACAGAAACAGGACGAACCAAAAATCAAACTGAAAATAAAACTTACCGTCGACTACTTTGGATAATTGGCGAAAGGATTATCTCTAAGCTGGAGGAAATGTTTTGATTTTGTTGCAGGTTGGCAGTTGATGTTGCCGCCGTGCCAGTTGCTGCTGTTGCACCTGCAGCCAAGGTTGCTGCTGTGATATTGTTGCTAGTGGTGGTGTTGGGTGGGGGAATCGCATTCGCATTCGCTTGGCTACTGGAGTGACTATTGGTGGTGTGGCTACTCGGATTCGGGTTCAGATTCAGATTCAGATTCGTATTTGCATTTGCGTTCAATGTGGGACAATTTAACGTTTGGTTGCCGCTGGTAATTGGCCCTAGTTGTTTCGCCTGCTGACCACTGTAGACATTCGCATTGCAATTATCGAAATTAATATTGGTCGATGTCTGGATTGACGACCACTGCCGATGTTGTTGTTGCTGATGCAGTTGCTGCTGCTGTTGTTATTGTTGTTGTTGCCGGAGCTATTGTGACTGCCCGTGGGGGACATCAAAGGAGCATCCGCATCAAACATGTCCTCGGCCTCGGCGGCCTCGTCGTCTTCGGTGTCCTCGGACTCGTCGTTGGTGGTCTGGGCATTCTCCATCTGCAGGGCCTCCAGGACAATCATGGCCTCGTCCTCCTCGCTGCAGGAGTGCGATGAGGAGTGCGACATCTGCGACGTCTGGTTTTCGGGGATCGCAAATCGAATCCAATTCGGGGGTGGTGGGGGGGTTGTACGGGGTGGTTTGCAGGTTTGCAGGTTTGAAAATACAAACAAGGTTTAGCTTTCTTGCAGGGCCTCTAATCACGCTCTATTGTTCGGTAGCTCTAGCACAAACGGGGCATGCAACTTACACAGCTAGTTGTTAAGCACAATATTGGGCTTACTAATTTAACATAATAATATTAGGGCACAGGCAAAACACAAACACATGCTGTTTATCGAAATTTCCACTAGGTAAATAGTATTTCAATTAGAAAAATATTGACAAATCAACCCAATCTATGCTGCGATAGTATGGTATTTTAATTAATTTACAAAACAGGAACGAAAATACCCCTGCCCAGAGTTTATGAATTTATCATTAGGGCCGCGGGCCCTGCGCAATTTTAATTACACGCAAAATACTCGAATAACAAGGGCCCCAATCAACAATGCCAAATGCCAGGGTCCAAAGCCGATGGTAATGGTAACAAAAGCCCCGGCGGCCAAACAGCTGACCATTCGATTCAAACCGCGTGCACAGGTGGCCAGCAAAAGGCAGGTAAACGGGGGTTTCGGTCGGGGATTGGGATTGGTTTCACCTGAAACTCGGGGGAGGGACCGGCGATCCCTGGCCCATTCGAAATGCGCCACACGCCCTGCGGTTTTCTGTTGATTGCACACCGGATAGCGATTCCTCCACTGAGTTCTAGCTGTTCCAGGGGTTAGTTAGCTGGCTTTTGCGGGGTTCCCTTTAAAGAGGACTCTCCAATAACAATTTAAATTTGTTACTAGACGACCAGTTCTTCCGTTTGGTTAGGATTGCAAAGTTTAATGGGATGGAAAGTGCGTTTCACAGTTTGAAACAATTCTCATATTTAGTTTTCTGAATTAAAAAAAAAATATTTATAAATGTTTACTATTCATAATACCACAACATAACATTTTATAAGTTTCCCCTTAAGCATTTAATATACTATACTAGCCCACACATCTATAGCTCGTTTCCTCCTCGAACCCGATCAGTTAAAAACATAAGTAAACAAATGACCATTTCTCGATTTGCATTTAAGCCAAATATTAAGCCATTCAGGTGGCAGACATGTGCGGTAACTAATCGCATTGAATGCGACTGGGCTCTTCTCTGTCTCTGGCCCAATACACTTAAAAGCTCATTCAATTTGGCCCAAGACACGTTCGCTTGTAGCCCATTTGATGCCTTTATGATGGCGAGTTCTTTGCCAAAAGTCAACATATGCGCCCACAAAGCTGGGAAAAGCAGGGAAAAGCTGGGGAAATGCTGGGAAATGGCTGGCGGCCAGTGAGATTCATTTGTAAATGAAATCAGAAAGGTGCACAAACACACTCGAATGCTTGAATGGTTCGGGGGCTGAGTATCTGAGTTTCTGAGTATCCTTCACTCACTTAAGCTTACGGCCTTTGTGTACTGGCGGCTTATGCTTTTTGTAGCCAAACTACACAAGTTTGCCTGGGAGAACACAAGTTGTTTTGTATCCAAACATATACAAAGTTTGTTTGATTTTCTATTAATTAAAATTGCATTCAACTTGAAAATCGTATTTGTTGCCGCAGGAGGCAAGTTTATCTCTAGGCCTCGCCCACTTCCCAACTCCCACTTCCCACTGCCACTTCCATTTCCATTCAATAATGAACTTTGAATTGTAGCCTAATGGAAACACGTACAAGATTGCATAAACAAACTTGAAGAGCGTTGGCCCAAGCCGAAGCCGAAGCCAAGGAATTTAATTAATTTTCCTCCCCGTTTATGGGTGTTTGTCTGTGTATGCGAGTGTGTAGCGAGTGTGTGTGTCTTAATTGGGCAAACACGCCCATGGCCAACAAACACTAATGCATCAAATTGTCTGGCATAAATGTGGCCCAGTGTCAAACGCCCCGTTCATTAACACGCGGCTCCCGGGGAGCTGGAAAATGGATAACGGATAACAGGACGCTTCCAATGTCAGGGACGGCGGGGTCACCAAGGTGGGGTCACCACCTCGTCTGGCAACTGTCACCATCAAAGATAATTGCTACCTACGATCTTTTTTTCTACTCCCCCAACAGTTTTCCATCGCTTTTCCCCTATACTATATGCATATCAGCATTGTGAATGAAAATGCATAAAAATATGCCATATGCCGCCGGCAGGTCAAAAGACAAAAGGGCGTTTAGACTGGGGAAAAAATATTTCCAATTGCCTACATGATGAATAATTAAATCATACACGGGATGTAGCATAAATAAACGAGTATTTGTTTAAAGTTTTCCCTTTGTTTCTCACTTTTTACATTTTCCGCACTATTTGACATGGAAAAATGTTTTCTGCCAATAAATCAATTGGCGATTTCATACTTTTTATGACCATTTTTTGTTCGAGCTTTTTCAAAGTTATGATTGAATGCATTTTGTGCTGCGGTCATTGTTTACTCTGGTCATTGTTTTCTAAATTTAACATTTCATGCTGTTGACCAAGGCTATCACAACTTTTAACGGCCTTTAACCTTAACTCTTCCATCAACTTGGAAAAAATGGGTGAAATTAAACAACGAATTTGTCAAATAGGCAAAATATTTATTTAAATTAAAATGCTGATTTCCCATGCTGAACAACTCACTCAATATGTCCTCTGTTTTTTCTATCCACTAAAGACGCTACTGCCAATAAGCAATCGCTTAAAGGCCTATAAGTTTGCTGCCTTTATTGTTTGCCAATTGTGTTAATCTGGCATTTGTTAGGATTGGCCGAGTGTGGCGTGTTCCTGGGGGCTACTAAAACGGAAACAGTCCGAACAATGGCTATAATAACAACTGCAGGCGTTTTACCAGGGACAAACCATCATTCGATGTGTCCTTCGCCGACGGCAGAAACTGCTAACCCTTGAACAACACAGCAAATGGCAGAGACAACAGCAATCGAAACTTTTGCCACATTAAATCAGTAAATTTATTGACTTAACTGCTTTCTGGGCCGAGGACACCACGGAGGACACCACCCATCCCCTCCAGCCACGCCTCTTTATTTCCTGATCGCCCTTTTCTGGGGGTTGTCAGCATTGGCGTTTGTCTCTTGGCCGCTGGCTGCGCACTTTGCCACTTTGGCCTGGCCAAGATGGTGTCCTTAGTCCCATATCCTAGTACACTCAACAAAATGTATTGAATCTACTGAGAAAGTAAAATGGGGCATAGAAAGCACTAAGTTCTTGAATAATTTTTAAAGGTGTCAGAAAGTATGCAACAGTATATATTACGACCAGAAAGGCGAAGATACTGCACACTTTCCTTTCTTACTAATGTTCTATAGAACTAACTGTCGACTTAAAATCCTTTTATTAAAAAAAATGCATTTGACTTGAATTTTCAAACATTTTTTAAGGAACTTTCTTCAAAGCGATTATTCTAAAGGTATGAGTCATTGAAAAATGCCAAACAAAAAATCTTTTTTCCGAGTATAATTTTTCCTGCCGCAGGATCCCGTGCTTGGCATTTTCCTTTGGCCGCCTTGCTTTGCCTTTGCTTTTGCTTTGCCCCTTGCTGTGCTGTCATAATTTTTGATTTGCTTGTTTTATTTGATGTCCTTGCTGATGTCGTTGCTTTGGCTGCCATTTCAGGCGTAGTCCTCGTTCTTGGCCCGCTCCGAACTAAGCTGCTTCCCAGCTTCCCAGCTTAGGAAAAACAATTTTGCAAAATTTATTTTATAGCAAAATTATGCCAAACATTTCGAAAATGTTTCTATGTACTCCCTGTTGTTGTTCCTCTAGCCGTTTGGGAAATGCTTATATATGTGTATAGATATATATGGAGGATGTACACACATGCGTGTGACCCGGTCGAGAGCTTGGAAGCTGGCCCAGAATTTATTTTAGAATCGTAAGTATTTCTGCTCTCGTGCCATCAACTTTGGCTGAAATTATTTGCTTTGCAAGGAGGAGGCAGGACTGGGAGGTCCTGTCTGTTATATAAACTTGGATAATGTAGCGCAAATAGTTGCTTATTATTTATTCTCTTTTATTGCCCCCCTATCAGGACAGGACAGAACCTTTGTCTTGGGCCGGCTCTTTATGGCCTTTTATTTTTCGGGTAATTTATTTGTGCCCCAGCAGAAATTAGTTGGCATATTTCAGTTGTTAATTAGGCATGCGTGAAATTGGGCAAAGTTTTGCCTAGCATAGTTTTGAGTTAGGAATACTATACATATGGGCATATGTCTGGCGAAGATTCGCTGAACTATGCCATAGAATTTCGAGTGCACAAAAGGTTGTTCGCCCCCAAGTGGCTTTCTCACGCCTTAAATTTGAGTTAATTAAATTTCACTGTAACCCGCAGCTGAGATAGCGGCAAGTTTACGTTTTGCCTTTTTGATAGGCCAGGCTTACACGAGAGTCCTCTGGGTGAGGAGTGGTGGGGGTAGAGTGTGTGTGTGTGATAAGGATTCCTCATTTCGGGGGATTCCCACCCTGGGTCTTACGAAATAATCAACATAAAAGCTTCAGTTACTTATTACACTTGTGCAAATACGGATACACACTAGTGTCTAGTGCTCTTTAGAAATACAAACCGAAAATGGAGGAGGAGTATCATGCCGTACAGACTAAGTACTTGGGAACAGGGAACTGGGGATGCGATAATGCCAGTGAAATACGGATTCAATTAAGGCGCGGAACACAAACATGCAACAACACAATGGAGTGGCAAACGAAAGACAAGTTGCACAAACTGAAGAGGAGGCGGAGTATCCACATCAACATCAACATCAACATTCAACATCGACATGCGACAGGTTTGCACTTCGTACTCACAGTTGGCTGCTGCACCTCCACGGGCAGGGCACGGGCACAGACACAGATGCATTCTGGCCATGCTGCAGATACACTAATGGACCGCCCGACTGACGCGGCTGCTGGACAATGGGCATGGCCGGCGACGAGGACGCGGAGGCTGTCGACGTTGAGGGAGCTCCGGCGACGGCGGCTCCTTTGTCGAACTGATAGTACATGACGTCGGTGGCGGGCGCCGTTCCTCCGTAGAGCGGCGGAGGAGGTGGCGGCGGATCTGCGGTCTGGGATCCAGAGATGTGGTAAGCGGTGGTCTGTTGTTTGGGGGAGCCCCCTGCTCCTGCTCCTGCTCCACCCCCTCCTCCTCCAGCTCCTCCCGGCATCTGCGGCATCTTGTAGTTGTAAATGTACGGCCGCTCGTACTCCCCGCCATGTATGTAGGACAAAAAGAGATCCGACTTGGCTGGCTGCAGCCAAAGCCTCCCGAGGAGGAGCCACCATTCCCACCTGACCTCTGACCCAAGGGACGATTGTATCCCGCTCCCGAAACACTGCTGCTGGCATAGTGCAGGGGATAACAGCCCGCGTTGGCCAACTGGTTGTTCCCGCCGCCGCCGCCCGTCAGGAGCTGCGTCTTGGTGAGACTCTGTCCGGAGAGCCGCCTGGTGGGCACCCCGATATCCGACTTGGCGTCCCGCCGCTTCACCTGCGCCACCTGCGTCGAGGGACCCTGGTAATAGTACGGCGACGCCGGATTGCTGGGCCACTCCACAAAGCTGCGCTGCCGGCTGAAAGCACCACCACCAGCACCTGGACCACCACCAGAGGATACCATATTCCCGGCCAGATTGCTAATGCTGCCCCCGCCACTCACCACGCCCTTGGAGCCCCTGGCCAGCGCATTGTTCAGGCTGAACTTGTACTGGTTGTTCTCGAAGGTCGTGTAGTGGAGCAGGCGATTGGCCGGCGACTGCTGATTAGAGTTAGTAGCGCTGTTGGGATTGGGATTCGGGTTCTGACTCGGGTGGGAACTCGAGCCGGAACCATGGACGGGCGCCAGGCCCGAGGAGCCCTGGGAGCCCGGGTTAGTGGACGATGGCGAGGAGGTGGCGTATTTGTAGGTGCTCTTCTGTTGCTGGCGTTGCTGCTGGGCGAACAGCGAACGCTGCTGCTGCTGCTGGTTACTCACGGTCTGCTGCATCAGGTTGTTGTAGTTCCCGCCGGCACTGCCCCCGGACTTCCGGTGCGATCCGCTCGAGGCGCCAGAGGATTTGTTGGTGCCGTAGCGAGTGCTGTCGCTGGATCTATTGAATGGAGGAGGGTTATGGGGGTAACCATAAAGGAGCTTAAGTTATGCACATCTAAAATATATCTATAATCCTAAGTCTCACCTCTCCGATGAATATGCATAGTCCTGATCAGCGCCCAGTCCAGAGTCGGTGTGCTCATGGGACACGCGCAGGGCTGAGTTCTCCAAGGGACTCAGATTCGATCCAGTGGGTGAGATAAAGTCACCCATGCTCATCTGGACATCATTCTAGAGGCCAAACCATCATATACACATCTATATATCCCATAATCACCCCTTACTTACCTAACTAGACCATTATTCCTTTCGCACTCCCTTGAAGATATAGTGCTGGCAGATCGTATGGAACCATTCTTGGGCGCATGTCCTCCAGTTCCAGGACCTCCATTGGCGTCGTGTGGGTGCGAGCTTTGATAGTAAAGTCTACAATTATATACATGGGTTAAGTTTAAGCTGATGCAAATCAGAAAACTAAATAAAATAATCCACTTAAAATTGATACTCCCTCACCTATAACTTATATGGGTTTGTTAGGAAATACTTACCCTCTGATGCGATCGACTCGATTCCTGGCCTGACCCGTATTACCCGATCCACTGCCATTGGTGATGGTGTTGCCTGACCCCGTGCTCTTGGCTCCCACACTGCTCTTGCTGTTGCTCTTGTGAATCTTCAGGTTGGAATTGGACCTCTTCGAAGTGGTCTCCACCACCGTATAGGGAATCTCCCGTAACTGTTGCTCCGACATGCCCTCCGTGTCCACCAAGTCGAATTGAAGGTGCTTCGCCAGCTCACTATTCCACATTCGACTGCGTGATTCCGATGGGGATCTATTATGTTTAAAGAAGAGGTACAATAATAAAAAAAATAATATAAATAAGAGTAAAGGGGTTATTTATAGGTAATGGAGCCACTCACTTGTTCTTACGATGCCTTCTAGACTTGTGGTGCGAATGGGTGTCCGAGTGGCTGTCGTTGCTGTGCAGACTCCTGGCCACCATGCTGCTCTTGGAAACGGCTGCCTGCTGCACGGAACTCTGGCCCAAACTGGCCTCCGCCTGGCGCCTCTGAACCTCCCTCCATTGGGAAGTAGAATCTATGAGTTCCGCACTTCCACTCCTCATCGAGGAGCTTCGATGGCCGGAGTAGCTGCGTCCTCGAGTGCTGTCGTGATCCGATCCCCCAGCCGAGTCCCTTCGGTGCCGGTGCGATCGACGGTGTTTGCGATGATGCGAACGCCCTGATCTTCCAGAGCGACCCGATCCTCTAGAGAGCTCGCTTTCGTTATCAGAGGTGCGACGATGACGGTGCTTATGCCTAAAATTAAAAAGTAAGTAAAGGGTTTTAATAACATTGCGTATTTTAGTCCAACTTGATAACTTTAAGAAACTAAAGCAAGTATGATCATAATTGATAAGAAAAGTAAACAAATTAAAAAATTTGCTAATTTTAAAGGCCAAGAAATTTTAGAATTAATGTCCTTTCGATAAGATATGTGAAATACCGAAGTTTATACGCATATGAACTGGGGAAATTCGAGGTTCCATGTGAAATTCTGACCATTGCAGATAAGATAAACATCCACTCACTTTAATCCAAGCACTCAACCTAGGCGCATGCTTAAAGATGTCCACGTCGATAGGGTTTAATGGGTCTCAATATGTCACATTTACTAGACAGCTTGACTCTATCTTAACCTTTTCAGGGACACTATCAGAGTTATTTAAAATTTGACTATTATAATTCTTCTAGTTTGATAAAATTTGCACGCGTCATGTTTATCTAACTCTATTCTAATTTTCAGAGCATTCAAATATATAGATGCCTGTTAGGAAGGTCGAACTTGGGTCTAAAGCCATCGATAAAATAATCTCTGTTGATGTGCGAGGAATTTATTTTATACAATACTTTTCCTTATGGTTTTAGCTTGTATTCCTCTTGTTTCACTAGATCTGTTATATTGTCTTAAAAATATTTATAACTTATGGTACTCACTTGCGCGTGGACCTCGATCGTTGGAGGAGTGGCTCTCCACGGAACTGGAGCGGTACCGCTGCTGCTGGTGGGAGGCGGATGAGGAGCTGGCCCGCTGCCGCTGGTGGTGCGAGGACGAGGAGGTGGCCCCCGCCGACGAGGACTGGTGGTGCGGATGGTGGCTGGTTCCGTGTCCGTGGCTGTGGTGGCTGTGATGGTGGTGCAGCCCCCCGCCCGCCGTGCTGGCGGATCTCACGGATCGCGGACTCGAAGGATTGTGGCCGAAGAGGGACCGCTGCTGGGACCTCGGCCAGGGGGCACTCCGGGTGCTCCTCGGGGAGTCAGGTGTCTGCAGGTTGCCCCCGCTGTTGTTGTTGTAGCTGCTGGAGTTGTTGTTCTGCTGCTGCTGCTGATGGCAAGGTCTGATCCCCAGGCTGGTGGGTATGCTGTAGGTGGATCGATAGGGACTGTCGTAGTTGCTGTTTCGCGGGGGGAAGAGATAGATTAAAGGCGGGGGATCAGTCAGCGCGATCTCGCATTATTTTGCCATAAATTTAAATTGTTTAACATAAACGTTGATTAAAGTCCGCGGCATGGAAGGCCATTTAGGCTGTCCAATTCGATCTGGGGAGGCAGTCCAGCTCCACTCCACCGGTATACAAACTCCTCGCCAAGATCGACACAGACAAATAATGCGCGTGTGCAAAATTGAGTAATTGCCGCACTGGCAATCAGCGGGCAATCATTTCGTACTCTCAGGAGTCGTCGCTTCAGTTCGGCTCAGTGGATGCCAGATCCCCGATCCCAGATACCAGATCACAGATCACAGATCCCAGAAAACCCAGAACGTGCCTGGTGATTTATGCTCCCTGGGATCCGCAGCGATCTGGCATCTGGGATGGGTGCCTGATTGGCCTGATGTTTGGGCTTCTCTTTGTTTGCAAATGATAAATGACGCGGGCTATTTGCTCATCCCATCCCCGGCTCTTCAGCTAGAGTCCATGTCCATGTCCAGGAATCCAGCGATTACGATTGGCTTCTATTACCTTATTTAGAGCCTCACCTGAGCGTGTAATTTATGCACGGATGGTGGGCAAACACTTACACTGGACAGGTCTGGAGATGGTCTCTGGTAATTGTCTAATTCGAGGTGGTTCCTAGGATCGCCTTCGCTTAGTCTCTGGCCTACGACTGGAAATATACACTCCCTGGCGATAAATCTGCTGGCATGACTCAATTTCAGCCGAAACTTCCCCGATTTTTATTTGCCCATATAATTTGATGTGTGCAGCCATAAAACATTTAATAAATGCTGCGTCTAGACAATGTAACTGCCTTCGAAATGGCAACTAAATGGATTTTGAACACGATTCCGAAACAGAAACAGAAATAGAAACAGAAACAGAGTGCCAGGGGCACTTGAGACGGGACAATGCCAAGGAGCTTCTACATATCTAGCCCATCATCCTGTTTGTCCTGTCAAACGCAAACGGAAGAGGGCGGGGAATGATGAAGTGCTCCGGCTGCATTCCTTTCAAATTGAACCCGGCGATTCCGAATGGCAATAGCCAAACCGAAAAATACATACTTGTATGTTTGGAAATTAAAAAGAGATCAAAGGCGAGTCCTCTCCAACGAGCCACACGAGAGCTCTTCCGGCGCGCCAGCTACCAAAAATGATTACTAAAAAGCAAAAAGGACTTGGCCGAAAAAAGGACAACTACGTCAAAGGAAGCAGCTGCCGTATATAAATGGGTGAAATACGGAGCGCGATGGGGTGTACTACACATGGGTAAATCAAAACTTTTGTGCACGGAATGAAAACAAATGATGGGCTGTTTGGAGTACTCACTTGGAGATGGTGCCCATTCCGGGCTGCGGAAGCGGCCTGTTGCCCATGTGGCTGCCGCCCCGGTCTGCTCCTAATGTTCCCGCTCCACTGGCTCCACTGGCTCCATGGCCACTGCCAGTTCCATTCCCGTTCCCATTCCCATTGCTGTTGAAAAAGTCATCAATCACGCGGCGCGGCTGGCGTTTGGAGGGGGTGCGGGTGAAGGCGGGCGGCGATCGTCCGGCGGAAAGTGCATCCTTCTCCGCCTGCTTGTCCGGACGACTACTTTGGGTTCAGGTTCAGGTTCGGGTGTGGCAGACATGCGGTGGTGGTAGAGGCGGTGGTGTTGGGCGGGCAACATAAAAGTAGGCATAAAGGCGTCCAAAAATATTAACAACCGAAATGGGGAAATGCCAAAAAAAACAGGGACTCATAGAAGACGCTAATAATGAACAGTGAACCATAAAAAGGCTGTAAAACACACACAAATAAAATAGGAGCCGAGAAACTGGCAAACTTTCATTTGTTTCTCAAATTAAAAACGTTCTTGGGGTAGTCATAAAATGAGCCGACGCCCCTAAAATAAAAACTTTTTCATTTTTTTTGGCCACTAGAAATGGTTTGGCAGCCAAGTTAATAGTTTCACTGAGTTACGGTTGGCCACGTGAACTCCATTCTGCGTCTGGCAGGGAGCAAGAAAGTTTACCGCAGCAACTAAATGGTCAGCCGCAGTCACCGCAAATGTCCAGTCATAAACATGAAGGACCTGGAGCCCCTGTGGCCCCGAGATCCCCCGGGTCCCCTCGATTCCCTGCCACATTCGTCATGCACAATTGCCTGCATTTGGTGAGCCAACGGCTTAGAGCCGCCTTTTCGCAGAAAGTCATTAGTGGGCTTTGCACTCGAGTTGCTTTTTGGCTGACTGCCTGGAGGCCCGAGCCTCCTAATCCCAATCCCCTTTCCGAACCCCTCTGCAGATCCGACATTTTTATTGGACTTCCAATTAGTTGACCATGCAGGCGATGGCGTAAACTTGATCTATGCACACTGCTTGGGTTGCACTGGATCTGGAATCTGGAATCCGGAATAAAGATGCCTGCTTCTGTTTGGCTTTGACTTTGACTTTGGGCCAGAGATGAGTTCTAATTGGTTCGGCGGGAAACTCGAGGAGCTGACATGCGAACCCGGTTCATTTCGGCGTTTTTAGGGGGTCTTATGTGAAACTGGAGTGGCTCTTGATTAGGTCCCGACTTTATGAACGTGAGTTATGGAAACAGGGAACTGAAAGTATCTCTTACTGGGCTTATACGATTTTTACTTTCACTTTTCTTGACATTAAGATAGCAATAATGATTTCGTTCATTGGGATTATTTTTAACAAGACTTTATGTATGTTAAAAATCTTAAGTTAAACTTATTTGAATTCCCCACGTTATATATCTTTTATAAGTGGTTTTCGGATGCCTAATGCCTTCGATGATGTAATTTTGGAAATGGGTACATTTTGGCTAGTCCAATATTCCCCAAAATGAACGGAACCCCTTGAAATCCATCTATCCTCTTAAGAACCAGTTCACTTGTTCGCATGGAGCCCAGCTCTATTCGTCCACTTGAGCTGGCCCTTAATGAGCTAATCACATGAGGTGCTTTTGGGGGCAGGGATTGAACTCGAGTGTCTGGGCCATTGAAATTTGTTACGTCTTAATTGGCTGCGCTTTTGGGTTCGGCCAATAAATTAGGCAACGCAGCGAGCCAGAGGGGTTTATGTTTTCGTTTCGGGTCTTACAACTCCATCTGCTGGGCGGAGCACACACGACTGCACCCACAGGAACTTCCTGGAGAGTTCCTGGTACCCCCGGTTCTCCTGGCTGGCTGGTTGGTAGTTACTCACCTGTGCCTGAAGCGCGATCCCAGTTGGAACAAATCGGCGGCATGCGACTGCGAACTGGGCAGGGGGGCCACTCGCACCTGCCTGAAGAAGGCATGGTGCTCCACGCAGCATCGCCACAAGTGTTTGCAGGCCGATTTGCGAGGCGTCTCGAATCCGTAGGTGCTCAGCTCGTTCTGGAAACAGAAAGCGGAATCCAATCGCAAAGGTGTGATAAGCACAAGAGTCGAGTCACGATGCGAACTCAGGACTGGGAACTAAGAACTGGGAACTGGAAACTCCACTGGGACATGCCGACAAAGGAGGCGGAGTGAGTGACTGAATGAATGCCCCTGTCGGTTTCGCCCCCTCCCATTACAAACTCTAAAGTGCTGGCCAAGGAAAAAATTTGGAAAAAAGGAAGGAAAAGGGAAAAATCAAGGCGAAGGAAAATGCTTAAGTTTCCGCCTTTTGTGCGCGTCAACTGGCTGGGAAACTTTTTTGATTATCAAAGCGTTAACACCCGAAAGTGTGCAACTTTCAGCAGCTTCAGCCATTCAGCGTCCTCTATCTCCTATATCCTATCTGCCACTAAGGCTACCAAGCTACCAAAGCTACCAGCTACCAGCTACTTGTTGTCTAACGAGTCCTCCTACGCTTTCGGCTCCTGGCGCCACTTGATGCCGCTGACAGCCAAAAGTTGTCGCCATAAGGAGCACAGAGAAAAAATGGCTACACTGCAAAATGGGAATAGGAAATTGAAAGCACAGGAAAATAGGTGAAGAAGATGGAATACCCTATATGCTTTGATAGAGGATCCTTACTGAAGGAAATAATGTTGTGTTCCACCTAAAATTTACACTTAAACTATCCTTGAATAATTACATATGTTGAAAAATAATTAATTTTAATGCATTTTAATTTTCATTCTTCAAGGATTAAGTCTTATATTCACTTAAAATGTAAATGATATTTCCCAACTTTTCCTGAGTCATCTGAAAAGTATCCCCTAACTATCCCATCTGCCAGAACTTTCCTTGCAACATTGTCGTAGGTCTACTACCCTTTAGTGCTAACTTTCGACCATTCACTCGCGGAACGAACTGCAAATTGTAAAAAGCACTTGTCGGCAAACAAATTTATGGCTGGGATGGGCCAAGGATTGGGGATCTGGACCCCCATTGTCGGTTCGGGTAGCCAGTTCCCAGTTACCAGTTTTCCAGCTCGCATTGTCGCGTTTTGGTGCGTTTGAGAATTTACATTTTTATCGCTTATCCTGAGCATAAAATAGCGTCCTTTATAATAAACTTTGGCAATGCGCGGCCAATAGTAATGAGCCACCGTCGTCTTGTTGCGCAGCACGACAATCCCGCTCGGAGTCAGGCCCAGGAAGTACTCCACGCTGTCCTCGCCCTGTGGGAAAAGCGGGAAAATGTATAGAATGTACAGGAAAAATGTAGAGAAAATGCGAAACTTTGGCAAACAAAAGGCGGGCGCAAAAGTTCTCCTTTCGGCCATTGCCAAAAATGTGTTAACAAGAAGAAAGTTTTCGCCCATTAGCAGCAGGCGGCATTTTTATGGATACCTCGTTCTTATAATGCCGCCCAGTGGAAAAAAGAAGGCGAAATAAATGTAATTTCAGCTGTTAATTAAATTAAAAAGAAGGAGAGACCAGCAGAGCATATAAAAGACGGCGTTCTGGCGCCGCGATAGTAAATGATTTGTGTCTATAAACAAACAAAGAAGGGGGTGGCTATAGGCTTTATTATGGCACATACCATATACCACATGGAGTACAAGGGTTCGGGTTCGGGATCCCCAACCACCAACCACCAGCCCCCACCCCCAACCCCATCATATATGTATACAAACACAGCTGGTGATTTATTGAGGTTTGATATCAAAGTAAAGGGCAATAAAAAATGCAAATGAAGTGCCAACTTACGCAGCACAAAAGCGTAGACACACGAGACTTGCTTTTTCGGGGTACTCATTTCCCCATCCCTCATTTGCGGGACCCCCACAGAAATGTGAGCAAATGATTTATAATATTTGCCTTGAAACGAAATTAAACTTTGCATTTCCCTCTGACCCCTTTTACCCGGCTGGTTGAACGTCGAAGCCCGGCTGTCTGGTGAACCATCTGCGGTTTCGGAACTTCGGAACTTTGGGTCATGGGAGTCTACCCCCCTGCCATATCACCATATCACCATTTCAGCCGATTTGGTTTGACACATGAGCAGCATCAGCACATCGCATCACTTACCAGGACGGGATGCAAATCCACGCCATACATATCATGCCATTTGACTTTGTCCAGATAGTTGAGCTCCGCACTGGAGGGCGACATTCCCTTCAGCTGCTGGTGGAGCTCGGAGACACGGGTTTCCAGCTCGTTGCTCTGGTTGGGGAGCAGCCGGAACTCGGACACATAGCCCTTCGAGTGGCGCCGCTGATCGTAGTCACCAAGTTCCGCTGGGGATGGTTACAAATGGGATTATTGGGGAAAAGATAGCCATTAAAAGTGGGTTTGTCACGAAAGATTATTCTCAAGAACATTCGACAGGCTAGGAATGGCACAAAGTTTATAGAATTAGAAAAATACATTTATAGGGTATTAAAACTGGTTAAAGAATTAAAATATTAAATATAATACATTGAATATTCAAACAAAAATATTGTTATTTCTTTTTTCAATTTCTTTACTTAATTAAAAAGGTGTCCTTGCTAAGTCAAATAGAACTTTATTTCAGTTGAGTAAGACCCTGGAGACACCCCCTAAATTTTTGTTTGTACAAGTGTCAAATATCCTTGAGAAGCCCAAATCAGCCAACAGAAAAACCTCAAAACTCAATTTGTATTTCGTTCAAAAGGATTTCTGTGACACCTGTGACTCACTGGGTATTTTGTTACTTACATTGCACCACAAAGGCTCCCAGTTCGGCGGCCAGTTCAAAGGCCACGGGCAGTCGTCCCTGCAGAACGTCCTGTTTGACTTGCAGAAAGAGTTGATACCTGCAAATGACAAATTTCATTAGCCAAAAGGACAAGAAACAAAAACCCGACAACAAGCCGGACAAGAAGCAGTTAACAAGTGGGCAAACAGAAATCTGGGCATAAAATTAGTTGATCCCCCTTGGATGTTTGTCTAAAGCAAACATTCAGCCGACTTGTTGACTTTGGGCGTAACATGGAAATCATGAAACGAAACAAATAAAGGGCAGACTGTTGGGCCGGCATCATATTTCACAATTATTTGCTAGAATCAAGCGCAGTTTGAGCTCCAAGTTTGCCTTAATCCTGCCTGCCTATGCTGTCTGTTTGAAAATCCACCCACCCGACGAGTCGTTTGGATTTTCAACTTGTCCTATCCAAAGTCAATTGCCGTTTATTGTGTGCCGCAGACTTTGTATAGCTAAAATAACACAATATTCTTTGGCCCTAGTGCACTTCCAATAATGCAACGGCAATTGCATTGCCACGCCCCCATCATCATCGCCCCGTTTCCACTTGGCCAGAAGTGCATTTCGATGCATTTATATGCGCTAATATTAGCAGTGGATTCAGCGGCAGTTGGCCGGGATTTTGATGATGTTTGGCCAATGGTTGCGCCCACCGCCTGGCGAATGATTATGGCCAACGTGTCGTCGTATGGAGAGCAAATATTTGCACACACCAAATGCTTGATAAATGCTGCAATCGTCCCCCGGGACAACCAGACACCAGGACCCATGGACAGCCGATGAAAACCATGGCCACGGTCACATTTCCATTTCCACATCCACATTTTCCCCTTGACATTTGCGACATTTGGCGCTTTCCCTTCGGCCTGCTGGCCATTTTCCACCGGCGTTGTTTTAATTTATTTCGCTTGATGTGCGCGCATAAATGCATTAATTGCTCGATGCATTATCCATTAGTTGAGTGGGTAGCCCGAGTTCACAGTTTTCAGCTCGTGCATCTCAATTCGCTTCATTTGTTGTTTATTGCATTATAATTATGCGTCTGTGTGCCTCAATTAACAAATTAAATTTGCCAAATTCAATTTACCGAATTTATGGCAGACCAAAGGTTGGGATGGCACAAATTAAATGCTTAAATGGTTAATGCAAGTGCAGACGGGAAAAATATAGCTATTAACAATTAAAGTGGCTTATCAGTTTAAATTTGTGATTTAATATTACAATCTGGCTTTAAAATGCTTTTCTTGACTATGTTCATTTATGATATTTCCAAGGTGACTTAAAACTGCACATCCTCTAGAACATATATTTCAACTTAAAACGGCAACATCCTAATGAACTGCATTATTGTTTTATTGAACAAAATTTGTTATCTTATTAATGTGATATGATATTTTAGCTAGTTTCTTCTTACCTGGTTATTTCCTCCAGCAGCTTGCAGGGATCAGCAGCATAGAACTTGACGCCGAAATACAGGTCATAGGGATCCGATTTGGGCTTGAGTTGTCTTGAAATACGCGACGCAGGATCTAGCCAGTGCTGTGGGAAAATAAATAACAAGAGGGATAAATTCAAGGACGGAGCACAGGTCGTATGAGCCACCAGGAGAGGAAAGGGTTGTCCTGGCAGGACCAACGAAAGCGAAATTATACAACTTGCCCCGCAGCCAGGGGACACTCAAAGAGTTGCCTTTGGTCTGGCTGCCCGGCTTTTTGTTTTCATTTTTCCACGCGCCTGAATGAATTTCAATGAAAACGAAAATGAATTTCCAAAACCAATATGTTTGCCCAGCGGAAGCGTCTCCTCTGGTTTTTTGCTCTAGCTCCACTCTGCACTTACCGTCTGATTCTCCTCGTCTATGTAACGTATGCCGAAGTATGAGGTCTCGATTAAATTGAGCCTGGCGAAGACGACATCCAGCAGAGCCTGGCCGGGCAAATCATCCTGAAAATAGACAAGAAAATTGCTGTTAAAACAGAGCAGAGTCCTGGGGATAAAACAGAGCGATTCGAGGGGGCAGGAGGGGCAGGAGGAGCAAAGGCAAACACTGGAAACACTGGCAAACTGTTGAGCCATTGAATGGCCACAGACACGGTCCTCGTTTTCATCCTTTTCGTCCTGCGGCCCGGCCGCACTTTTCCATCCGGCTGGCTAAGTCCTCCGCCGACAAAAGTGAAAACTTCCCAGTGACAATTATTCAATTGGAAAATTGCTGCCTTTTTTTGTGTGCCACTGCCACTGCCCCCAGCCTCTTGCCACTGATAAAATAAATGGGGAAATAAGAAAATGCCCGACCAAACAATTTATGGCAAATCGAAGGCGGCCAAAGTCGGGCAATCAACAATTTTGCTGTTGGTTTAATTTAATTTGTTAAAGCTTTAAAATGCCAATTCCCTTTTTTCTCGCCCCGCCTGTCTGCAGTGCCAATAATAAATTGAGTTTATTCTCTGGGGAGTTCTCCGAATACTGGAATCCCGGAATTCTGGAAGCCCCCAGGATACCCCAAAAAAGGTGGCCGCAGCTGCAGGAACCGCAAAAAGCACCCAAACTATGGCCGTGGGGCGTGCTATTGTTAACCGCAAAGGCAGCTGCCACGCCCCCTGTTTACCCGCCGCCCCCTTTTCTGGCAGATGATGCTCCTCCTCGATTGTCTGCAGTGTGTCTTCCTCTTTTTTTGTATTTTGGAAACTGACCAGCAGACACTGACTTTTGCCTTTTGTTGTTTGTTCGACCCGCTGCCATGTTTTATTTATGGTATTTCTGCCTGGTCGAAGGATCCCTTTGGGGCATCCACATCCTCATACACATCCTCATCCACATCCTGCACACGGCATTTCCCTTCGCATGTACATTGGCCTGCTTTATTGTTGTTGCGTAATAAACTTAATGGCTGGCAAGTGTGAACACACTGGGATTCCGGGAGTGGGAACCCGGTGTAACTGCCAGTTTACTCGCAACTCCGGCTGAACTCGTTTTGAATTTATGTTAAACATTCTGCTGACCTCAGGGTTTGAGTTCGAAATCGAGCTGCTTAACTCGCCGTCTGGGAATTGTAAAGGCCAAAAGATGGAGTCGAACTGGAGTTGGTGCAAATGTATATATTGGAAATGATATTTGATATACATGGTTTCGAAATGCTTGTTACATATTAATATTTATTTGCCTGTTTTCTCGATTCCATAAAACATAAAGTGGGAGTAAAAAATACAGATTGTATTGTATACAAAAATTACTAACCGCATCATCAGTTAAACCATTGACATGGTAAAATGTCTATTTCGATCTTTTAATATAAATTTGATATGCCAAATCTTTTCAAAGGGCTTTCGATTTCATTTTATTTACCTTGAAACGTTTTCACATCCCTAGAACACCCACTCGATAAGGGCATTAATCTCTGTATGACAGCACATTCCATTTGAAAGGGTCGAGCTGGGTTGATTTTTGCATGAGCTCCAGGCCACAGGACGAAGGTTTAGGGATTCGTGTGCGTGTGTGTCGAAAACTAATTGCATTTGTGCCTGTGACTGCATTAGATGACAGTCGTTAACAGGACGAAGTGACACAGTGACAGTGAAGTGACATCGGCAGTGGCAAAGTGAACGTGATGCTGCAGTTGGGCAGGACATCCTGCAGTCCTGCTGCTCAAATTGCATTACAAATACGTGAAGTGAACGTGGGCAAGGACATTAAAACAATGGTCTGTGAAATTTCCTAGACAAGTCATGTCCTTATTGTTGGCATTCCTCCTCCGAAGCTCTTGTTCATGCTTTTACCATAAAACACAGAACACGAGAAGAAGAAAAGTGCATTTTAAAAATGCATAAGAACCATGAGCGTTCATCATATTGTCGGCTGCCTGCCGTTTACTTAGTGAGAAGAGGAGCTAATAATGCATGTGCACGTAAATGGAATTCCCAATGAGGTGGGAGTGGAGTGAAATTGTATCCCTTAAAGTGAGGCTTCTCTATCGATCTGGGGATATTGGATACTAGACCATCTTTCCTTCGCGTTTCTGGAATTCCAAACAATAGACAGCCCCAAAACAACACCCTTCCTAATGAACTAGTCGTTCAGCGCCTAAGTTATGGCCAAAAATCAACGTAAACACGTAAGGACCGCAATTAATCACAGGGGTTTTGTCGGAAAAACTTGTGCAAACAAAAGTGTTTGGGGTCCCAAAAGGTTTTCCAGGTCCAGGAAAGCGTTTTTGGGGGCGGAATTTCCATACAACTCACTCACTGACAGAGTTCAATAAATTAGATTTTCCCCGAACCCGTGACGTAGATGATGTCTGGGGCATCAAAGGATGAAGGCTCTGGATGATCCTGATGCTGACAGCGCAGCAAAATGAGGCGAGGATGGAAGCGGAAAAAAATAAAATTAAGGAGACGCCGGATGTGCCTTACGATGATTATGTTGATGCTAATGATGATTAGGTCTTTGGCTAAAATGTCTTAATCAAATTATGCTTACTTTGATGTTGCTGGAAGGACCTCCAGCCGCCTGTAGCCAAAGGACATCGAATCCTGGCCAAGTACACTTAATGAGCTTACATTTTTCGCCACCCCCAACTGCCTCTCAACCTCGATTGCCTGCTTTTCTTGTCAGCTGACGGCAACACTAAAGAGGGAAAATAAGCAGGAAGTTTTTCGCCATGCAACTTAATTAGAGAGCGCCAAGTGGTAAACCGGAAAATATAGCACACATGTCTGGCCACCAGCCAACCCCGGCTAACTTCCCCTTTTTTGCCACCCCCAAAGGACACTTTTCGGGGCAAAAAGGAAAATCCCAGCATCGCGTTTTGGCTAAAACGTAATCAGCGCTGTGTCTTGGCAAACTTTAACGACGTGACTAACCCAATTTCGGCCTTTTGCGAGTGCAGAAATCCTCCGCAAGTTTCCGGGCTTTAACATAATTAACACACATGCTTTGTGCTTTCAAAGGATGGATTCCCCAGACGCACCTGCTGTCAAAAACTACTTGAAATAAACTTAACATCAGCTGAAGTATGAGTAATCTCAGTTCAAGCACACAAAAAAGTTTGCAAAAGTTATCTAGACAGGAATTTAAGTAGGTCAAATAAATATAAAAGTCATACTTAAAGTATGCAGCAATATATTTTTATTCCAATCCTCTGATGCAGCATACTTTTAGGCACCTTTGTTAGTGATTTCAAAACTCCAGTGGCTTCTGTGGCACTCCCTACATCTGTGTGTACATGTTTTTTAGGAAACACAACACTTTTTCTAGTAATATCCAGTGCAGCCGGATTATATCCTATTTCCTGTGTAAGCTCATTTGCTGTCATTTAAACTGCAGGGCGGCTAAGAAGAAACGCCGGCTTATTGCCCTTGCAAAAGTAGAAAAAGCAGAGACAAAGCTGGCTGAAATGGAAAATAAAAAGCAAATCCAAGTCGCCGGCAATGAGGGTCAGGTCAGATGTGGGAAATGATGCCCGGCATCTGCTCCCAAAAGGCTTCGCCATCCACGGGTCGTATACTTAATGCCCTCCATGCTATGCGAGCTGTGTGTGTATGTGTTTTAGCCTCTCCAATTGCATTGTGCGTATAATTGCGATGCTTGGCTTAAACGTGCGCTGACCTCTGACAACAAAAAATGCACACAACACTGGGAGGAAAAAGTAAAAAATAAAAAACAGATGCAGAAGAGAGCTGCATTCGTTTGTGTTTATAACGGCATTATGAGTCTTGAGCTCAGGGCAGAAGCAGAAGAAATAAAAATAAAAGCCAGAAAAAGCAAACAAACGGGGCTAAAACAGAGAGAAATGGGCAAAAGGACAGGGCGAGTGCAATGTCACAGACAAAACGGCGACAAAATGAAAGAAAAGCAATGGCAGCAACATCGTGTCGTCGTTATGCACAAAAAAATACAAAAACCAGGCAGCGCTTCCAAATGCTAAAGCAGATTTATAGCCCCCCTTCTCGAGACCCAGATCCACCCTGCTCATCCCATATTGGCGCATCTTCACCTAACTGAAAAACACATTCAACAAACGAGATTTGCGTAATTCCTGCAGCTCAGCGCCGAAGAGAAGGTTTCTCGTCTCCACTCGTCTCGTTTCGGTTGGGTTTTTGTTGTCTTGTTGTTGCCGGTTGCTTGTTCTTCGCAATGTTTGTTGTCAGACTGTTTGTTGTTGCAGTTGTTGTTGCTGGGGATGCTGCCTTTTGAGATTCCTGGGCCGTGTGGGGGATACCCTGCACCAGGTGGGCATAACCACGATTTGGTAATAGCACATATCCCTCGGGAAAGTTAGAATCTTCATCCAATCTTATGATATCGTATTCGAAAGATATCCTTATGAGCTGCATTCAATTCAGTGTATGTCTCAAATGGGTAACTCAGAACTTTCATCCAATTTTATGCTATTCGAATCCGAAAGATTGTTATATAAGCTGCATACTTAAAATATAAGTCAATATGTGAACGTTATCAAATTAATCATTAGATAACATACATTTTCAAAGGCATATTTAAATTACATATCCAATTTTTAAGTTCAATAATGATCAGAATAGCACAGATTTTTAAAAATTTGCATTATGATCCTTGAGCCTACTGTATTCACCCGTAACATATATCAATACATTGGCATATACTCGTAAGTGGGTTTTAGAAAGTATATTATCTGTTATTAGATATTGTGTTTTACTTTTAATATAGGAGTACCTTGAATCAATTGTTTCTATCCATAAACTAATGCCATATTCTACACCATTTCACCAAACTTTTAAGATCCTCTGCTAGATAGCATAGTTCCTCCTGGGTACCCAGGGTATCTACAAGTCCGTTGGTCCCCTAGAGTCGACTCAGCTCCTTGTTCCGCAGCTGCTGGCAGTTCAGAGACGTCGCTGTCTGTTTACGAGAGTTTTATTTCGCATGCCACGCCAAACAGCAAACTCCAAGCTCCAAACGGCAAACGG